GAGGAGGAGGAGGAGGAGGAGGAGGAGGAGGATCTGAGGGGTGGTGCTCTGGAGGCCACCTGGGCCAACCTGGCCCTTTTGTGGACGCCTTGGGCCAGGGGCACCTCTGGCACCAGTCAGCCCGTCGCCCGGGCAGCAGATGCCGCGTCCACCCGCCCCGGAGGGGGGCCCGCGCAGAGGCCCGGGGGCCGCAGATGATTTCTTGCTTGCCCGCAGGCAAGGCGGGCAAGGCGCCCTGGCAGGACACGGCTTTTGCAGGTCTTTGTCGTCGTCGTCGCCGTCGCCGTCGCCGTTGCCGTCGCCGTCGCCGTCGTCGTCGTCGTCGCCGCCGCCGTCGTCGTCGTCGTCGTCGTCGTCGTCGTCGTCGTCGTCGTCGTCGTCGTCGTCCTCGTCGTCGTCGTCGTCGTCGTCTTCGTCGTCATCGTATTTATCGTCTTTGTTGTCTTTCTCGTCCGTGTCGTCTTTGCGTCTTTGGCGTCTTTTTCGTCGTCGTCTTGTCTTTGTCTTTGTCTTTGTTTTTGTCTTTGTTTTTGTCATTCTCGTCATCGTCGTCGTCGTTGTCTTCGGCTTTGTCTTCGTCTCCGTCGTCGTCACCGTCTTCGTCGTTGTCGACCTCGTTTGTCGTCGCCGACCTCGACCTCTTCGATGCGATTATCGTCGTCGACCTGGTCGTCCTCGTTGCTCGGCGTCGTCGCTTGTCGTCGTCGTCGTCGTCGTCGTCGTCGTCGTCGTCGTCGCTTGTCGTCGCTCGTCGTCGTCGTCGTCGTCGTCGTCGTCGTCGTCGTCGTCGTCGTCGTCGTCGTCGTCGTCGACCGCGGCATCGACCTCGGCGCCTGCGGCGCTCCTCCGGCAGGACGCGCCGCCCCCGTGGCTGCGCGCGGGCGGCGCCCTGGACGCCGGTGCGGGTGGGCCTGGCGGGGGCCTCGGGCCCCGGCGCGCGGTGGCGGGGCTTTTGCCTGCGCCAGTCCGGGGGGAAGATGTTCCCGCTGTCGTCCCAGACATGGTCGCGTCGTTAAACGATCAGGACGGCAAGTTTTTTACTATTTTCCGTCCTCGGGGGCCCTCGCCGGGCCCCGGGACCGTCAGAGCACGGCCCAGGATGAGAAGCCGATCCCGGGGAAGGGGTCAGTTCTCGTTGTGATCAGACCACATCAGACCAGAGGATATATTCACCCAGCATGGCCGCGAGGATTGCTTGGGCAAAAAAATTCCTCCGCAACGCAAGTGCGGCCCTCGAAATGCAGGCAGTGCTCGGGGGCTGCCTTGGCGTGTGCGCCCGCCCGCTGCGCAGGGTCGGGCCACGGGGGGGGGGCGGCGGAGGGGGGGGGGGGGTTGCCGACGCGGCCGGCCGAGGCGCGGAGAGCCCCGCCACGCCCGCGTTCAGGCACCCGCGCGGCGGGGCGTGGTGGGAGGAGGAGCCGCGCGCGCGTGGCCGGCCGCAGTGGAGGGGGGTGGCTCTTTGCTGCTCCTCCTGCTCCTCCGCTTCCTCCGCCTCCATCTCTCCTCCTCCTCCTCCTCCTCCTCCTCCTCCTCCTCTCCTCCTCCTCCTCCTCCTCCTCCTCCTCCCCCTCCGCCCTTATCGTTCCTCCTCCCTCTTCCGTCCTCCGGGGGGGGTTCCGTGGGGGATGCACCTCCAGGGTGTGGATGTATTGGGGTGAGGGTCAGGGTGGCAATGTGTCAGGGTGAGGGTGCTTGGGCGATGGGGCCAGAGGAGGGGTGTTGGTGCTGGGATGGCAGGGTAGGGGTGTTAGGGTTAGGGCCCAGATGGTCTTCAAATTGACCAAGGCGGCCCACTCGTTCCTCCCCGCGGGGCTGCCAGCATGCCTGCCAGGGCACCGCAGCGCACGGCAGCGACTGCCACCGATCAGCAGCAAGTGCCAGCAGTACGTGTCATCAGAGGGGGAACGCTCTTCCCCGCGGGGGGTGCTCCAAGCCAGGGCAGCCCACAGCTCCCGAGGACTCCCCCTCGGCGGGCCAGGGGTCGATGAGGACAGGCTGCCTGCCGGCCGGACTGCGGCAGCACTGCTCTCGGTTTCCTATGGGCTGCTGTGACTGAGGTGAGGAGGCCCCCAAGGCGGCCACATGGGGAGGGGCCGAAACGCTTGAAATTGCCGGAGACACCCGCAGTCGAAGAAGAAGAAAACGCGACAAAAAACATAAACTTGGGGGTCCAGCGCAGCTCCAAGAGATCCGCGCGGAGTGCCACAAAGTTTATGCTTTTGCAGGCTTTTCCCTCTTCTAGACAGGGTTCCGGCGGATCCGCGCCCCAGGGCACGACGAGCGGGTTGCCAGAGAGCGCTTCTCTGCATCGAGGGTGCAACGGCCCCCTCGCCCCTGGGCAAGCCTGCGTGGGGGCGTTCCAGCAAGGGCCTCGGCTTCGGGGGATCGAGAGGTTTACATGTCTGCCTCGGCGAAGCGCGGCAGAGGGCCAGTGGACGGCGGCGGAAGCAACACGAGGCCGCCACCGCTGGCGGAAGCTGGCGAAAGGCCGGCGGAAGCCAGCAGAGGTGAACATCGCCCTCACAAGAGATGCATGTTTTTATTTTTTAGTTCTAGGTCTCTAGCGCGGGCCAATGGCACGCGCTAGAGACCCAGAACTCCCCCTATGATACGGGGAGCGGCGTGACGTCGGAGGTGTAAATCCGCAGCCGTTCTGGCCTAGCTCGTTGGTGCTCGGCCATTTTGGCTGGGGTGAGGCGGAAGTGATGAGGGGAGGGGGCGAGGGTAATGTGCTGTTGGGGAGCCGCTGAGACGCCGAATAATCTTCCCTGATGAATGTCAGATGGCCAGCTTGGACCCGGGCGAGGCGCCTCTTCGTTCAAAGCGGCCATCAAGGCACACGGGAGAAGCAGCGAGTGGATCGCAGCGCTGCGCTTGTTCCGGGAAGCATGTCAGTCACGCACGAGAGGCAGCCACAACCTCTACATTGTTGTTGTCAGTGCATGTGGTCAAGGGAGTCAGTGGCAGCAGTCTCTGTCGCTTCTCAACGAGATGTTTGAAATGAAGGCGGAACCCAACGTCATCAGTTACAGCACCGGGATCAGCATGTGCCGGAAAGGAGGGCAATGGAAACAGGCGCTGTCGTTGTTCGGCGAGATGCTGGAAACGAAGCTGGAACCGGACGCCATCCCCCAATGCATATGGGATCGAGCCCCTCCCGCTGAATGGGTACGCCTGTGAGCCTCGCGAAGGCCTCGCGAATGGGATCGCCCCCCCCCTCTCCCCCTGTGGTCGTGGCCCTGTGGGCGTGGCGTGGTCCCTGTGGGTGTGGGGAGGTTCGTCTTCGTCGTCTTCGTCGTCGTCGTCGTCGTCGGGGTTGGCGGCGTCGGCGTCGGCGTCGGCGCCGGGCGTCGGCGGCGTCGGCGTCGGCGTCGTCGTCGTCCCTCCCCCCCCCGTTCTATCTGGGGGGGGTCTGTGGAAGCCTGTGGCCCATCCAACCTGGGGGGGGCCGTGAACCCTCGACCCGGGATCATGTATATATATGTACACATATATATGTACATATATTTATATGTACA